AATTTAATTTTCTTTAGTATAAAGATTATAAATTGAGATTACACAATAAAAAACATTTATACCTATTTAATATTTAAATCTTAAGAATTTTATTAATCAACTGTACTTGCCACTTGAATCATTAAAAGTAATAAAATTGTGCACAACTAGTTACAATTTTTGTTGTTTTAATGTTAAAACATTAATTATCTTTTACATAAAATAAATTCACTATAATAACATTATTAATTAAAGATTTTTCAGTAAGGATTTTAGGCATAAGTGAATATCAAAGTTAATATATTATGTTAGAAAAAATAATAAAATAAAAACTAATCATTTTTATATTAATATTAAATACAATGTAAAATACATTTTTCAGTTTTAAAGACTAGATTGAGTACATAAAAAATGATTATCTTATTAACAAGTATTATAAATATGTGAATAATAGAATTAATAAATACTAATAAAGTATCATATTGTATATAAAAATAATATATATGAAGTATAAAAATATAGTGTTTCTTTATAGATTCAAGTACTATACTAATGGATATTAAAATACAAAGATTTACAAGTAAATGGCTTTAGTATTTACTAAATACTATTTATTTAAATAGATAATTTTAAAAACATATTTATTAAGGTTACTTTACTGGTATTACTAGAAGGAAATATTACTCATATATAGTTCAATCCATGGTAGGATATCACAAAATAATGCATACCTCACTAGAACCCTAATAAAATTAATAGTTGAAATAGTATATATAAATAATTTAATCATAAAATATTATTTCAGAACTTCATTTAAAGTCGTAACAGAATTCATAGTTTGGTGGATCAGCTGGTACAGGAGGTGGATCTTGAGGTATATCTACACCAACTCCTTCAGCATCTAAAAGTCTAAGCTTTATCTCCATTGACAACAATGTTTCTAAATCATTCTCAGCTTCTTTACTTGTCATTTTATTTCCTATATAAAATTTTGAATAATAAGAACAATTAATATAACAGTTATGTGAAACAAAATTTTCTTCTAGTCACTATACTTAATAGTACTTTATTTGTTAAAATAGACATTTTCTGAGTTAAAAATAAGCATTCAATTATTTTATAGTGTTAGATTATCATTATGGAAATAAAAATCTTGTACATAATATGAATTCAGTGAAAATATATGTACAAGATATTGCATTTTTAAAGGAATTTCAAGTATTTCTAGTAGATAAATTTGGTACATTACTATATATACTTACTGTATATATTATTGATAAATTTGTAATCAATACAAACCAAAATAAAAGAATATCAATTTGAAATATTTTTATATTTTTACTTGGGAAAATTATATTTTATGCAACAAAGACAGGGGGGTTTAGTGGTTCTAAACTTTAATATATAATTTTATTTACCTAATAATGCATTTATTCCATCAACCCAATAATCATAAACCATTTCATCAGGAGCAACAAAATAAAGAGGTGTTATTTCTACAGAATCTAAAGTCAATGAAAAAGCAAGTTGATGTGTGGATTTTCGGCCTCTATAAACATTAAATAATAAATGCAACTATATTGAATTATTTATAACATTATTTCATTAATATTTTTTATTTAATGTTAATAAATTTACTTGGCATCTTTCATATGAGGACAGTCTTTACCAGTAAGTAATGCTTTGATATCAACTACTCCTAACTTATTAGGAAGTTCTTCAATTGTAGGAACACTTTTATCATCACAATCACCATAGTGTAAAACTTTATGATTTTGTGATAATCTTACAAACCAAAATTTATCTTTAACTCTCTAAAAAAAAAAAATTATATATTTGTAAATTTACAATTTATTCTATAATTTATTGAATATTTTATGATTTTTATAATTAATTAACCTGTCCGCGTTGTGAATATTTAGTAAATCGAGTTCCGTCAACCATGTAGTTGAGTCGTTGTTTTTTAATAAGTTGCACAATTTCAGGTGTAACTAACTCTTTTAGTTGTACTATTGGACGAGCATGACTTTCCCATTGTTCTCTAGAAGTACGTTCTTGTTGCCATAAGTTAGTAATTTCAGAATAAGTAAGAGTAGATAATTTTTGTCGTAGTTTTTCCAAATTGGCTGGTTGTGAGCCTAAAGCTCTAGTGATTTGTTCCCGTACAACACTTAATACCTAAAAAAAAAATAAAATAATAATAATAATAATAATAATAAAAAGAATTAGATTAACTGATCTATTATTATAAATAATAAAAGTACATAAAAATAAAAATAATATTGTAAACAGTTTTTAAATTATACTTTGACAAAATCTTCTGTTGTTGCTCTCATTTCCTTCCATGTTTTATTTAGCAAAACAATGCAAACACAATATAATTCATGGAAAGGATGATCATGACTAAAAAATATTTGATGGTAAGTAGTAGTTTGTTCACTGGGAAGTTCACCAATTCTAAGTATATTGCAAAGTAAGCGTACTAATTCAACAGATGATCGGCCGAAAGGACATTCATGTTCATCTGCTCTACATGAATTTTCAAGAACAACCTTAAATGAATATAAGAGAATCAGTTAAAACAAAACTTTTTTTTTTGTGATTTATAATTCTTACTTTTGTGTAAGCATCAACATGATTACGAGCAAAGTATACCATACAATCTAAAGCTAACATCCCGGGTGGAGTTTCAGTAAAATCCAATGCAGGATTTATATCATATTTAAAACCCAATTTCTTATAATCTTTTGTAAATGGACTAAGTTGTCGTCGACTAGCATCTCCACCACTAATTGTATCCAATTCAAATGCAATTTTACGCAACTCCTAAATTTTAAAATAAATAATAATAAAAATTAACTTAATAAAAATATTAAAATAATAAATGGATATTTACTTTAATTTTTTCATGAGCATCTTGATCTTGTGGGTCCATTTTAGTATTCATTCTTTCTTCAAGCAAGCCAAAACATAATGTTTGCATAACATAAAGTTGATGAGCCATTTCAGATCCAACTTCACCCGATGATGTTTGTATGATATTTTGCAATATAACATTGCGAACTTGTTTAGTACATAAGGTACTTGCAATAATTTTTCTTTTAGCTGGATCGGCTTTCAAAAATAAAGCATTTATCAAAGAAAGTGCATTTTGTTGTATGATAGGGTTTTGATTTTCAAGTCGTAGTACAAGGTTAGGAAATCCTACTTCTTTTTCTACTTGACCATATTTAGCAGAACTGTTTAAAACAATACTTTCTAGTATAGATAGTGAAGATTGTACAACTTTTGCTTCTTGTGGCCTAGATGTTTGATTATTAACATAGCTGGCGACCATATTAATAAATGGAGTTTCCAAAATATCCCACGATACAATTCCATGGTCCATTAACTCAACAAATGAAGCTAATGCATTAGCTAACATAGCTCCTTGACATTTACCTGAAACAAAACATTATTTGAGTATTTAAATTCTAATACAAACATAAAATTGTTAGATATATTAACCTCTTTCAATTAAGCTAATAATCAAAGCCAATCCTTGTTTATTAATGAATTCAAGAGCAAATGTTATATCAATGCTGCATTCTGCTAACTTTTGCAGGGCAGAAGTTCTTTCATTTTTATCATCAGATCCTTCAGAATGAAGTGTTTGTAAAATATCATATGCAATCTTTGAAGGAGAAAATGCAAGTCTTAGTACAGAACCGTTTTTAATTTCATTCCTATTTTTTTCAGTGACATAGTTTTGATTAGTTTTTTCAGAAAATTTTAATGCATATTGTTCGGGATCAGTTAGGTCCCATCCACTGCACAAGTCCTGAATTATGTTAGTTAAAGGTATCTTTTGATTGAATTCTTTAAGTTGTGGATTTTCAGACTCCATTTCAACTGCAATTTTCACAACATTTGCGTCCAACAAAGGCATTTTTTCTGATTTATTTAAACTCATGAAATATTTAGTTATAAAATTGGAAGATCAATTCTGAAAAAAAAACAACATATATTAACAATTATTAAGTTCACTCCATTGTTGTGGAAGTCAATAGTGTGAAGCCATGCGATAGAATACAGGGTTAATATACTCTCTCAGCCATAGCCAAATAGGCCAGCTAACTATAAATAAAATAAATATTTAAGAACTATACCTAAATACTGAATTGTAATTATTTAGTTTTTAGAATATTATGTTAAATGTGTTATGATTTATAAATGAATTAATAACACCTTTATGAGTATTACCACTATCGATTCTTACGTCACGAAACCAGCACAATTGAGAAAAAAGTTGAATTTATAAAATAGGTTAAACTTTAATTACATACATACAAATTAGTTGGTGATCAACTTTTAAATTACTTATTTTCAGCCATAATTCACGAATTTAACAATATACCGGATTTGGATATCTATTATAAATTATTAATTAATAACTCGAATCAAATTTAAACCTACAATATATAACAACAAAAATGAATGTAAATGTAATATTAATTAATTATATAATAAATATTAAATAGGGTTTTGATGTTTACAGTAAACAGAATAAAGATAGAGTATCTATGAGCTCATGATATTTGGCATTTATCACTTTCTGATAATACGAATAAATTTAAATTGTATTTATATTAATAAAATTCATCTATAATTTTAAATTTTAATGTTTAAAAACAAAATTATTAAAAAATGATATTCATGCGTTTATTGTGTATAAATTAAGTAAAATATTATGCATTTATTTTATAAATAATTATATATTGTTATATTGATGCCAATATTTTTTTTTATTATCTACATTATCTACACAATATCAATAATCGAATTGTTCGTCCTTGTTTACTTTTTTAGGTATTCTAATCACAATTTTTCAATATTCTATTATAATTAAGCATTTAAATTTTAAATGCTTTTAAATTTAATTACAATGAAGTTTCAAATTGTGTACTCGTGTTGCGTCGTTCAATATTAATTTATTCTGAAGTTTTGACAACATTTTTGTTCTACGTACTATCCAATAATAATTTGATGTATTTAATGTTATCAACACAACTATAATATATTATTTTAGTCATTAAAACATTTTACTTATGACTAATATGTTTTCATAACTTTTTTCATGTAATGTTATCACACTAAAACTGTTTAATAACGCTTATTTATGTACCGATAGAAAAAATTTATCAAGTGAGGATTTTTATACTTTCTTCACATATACATTTAAAAACAAACATGATGTCCTTAAATTCATCTGCTAAGCGATTATATTTGTCTCTGGGTAATGTCGTAAATTATTCCTCAAGTAAAAAGTACTATGATATTGTTATTGCTGGTGGCGGCATGGTGGGCTGTGCAATGGCCTGCAAATTATGTAACTATTTCTCTAATTATTTACATTTAAGTATTTATCAATATTTAATTTATATTATATTTAAGCTAAAGAACCTGCATTACGTGGTATGTCTATCCTTCTATTAGAAGGAGGTCCAAATCGTAAACAATATGATTTGTGTGCAAAGAAAAATACACTTGACAATCCTTACAATAATAGAGTCTCAGCTGTGAACAAATCAACTGTACAACTTTTACAATCAGTTGGAGCATGGCAAATTATCAGTGATTTAGGACTTTGTAATGCAATCAAAGAAATGCGAGTGAGTGTTTAAATAACTAAACAAGACATTTTCTGTACTATTTGATTCAAATTTTAGATTTGGAATTATGGCGGAGGTAGAAGTGGTGGTGTTAATAACATATTAACATTCAATAATGATGATGATGATGATTATTTAGCATATATTGTTGAAAATGATACTATTCTTGGAGCATTGTATAAACAAATTAAGGAAGAGCAAAATATTACTGTAAATTATAATTCCCGAGTTAATCAATGTAATTTGCCAGATTCTCATAGAGATTTGGCTTCTGTACAAGTAGCAAATGAAGAAACTTCCTTTGAAACTAGTATTTTAGTAAGTGAAATATACTAAAAATTAAACTTGAAAATATGTAACAAAAGTAAAAATAATTTGTCAACATTCTTAGATTGGCTCAGATGGATATGGTTCTAAAGTACGTTCTGCCATTAATGGTCAGCAATATCTTAGTTGGGAATATGGTCAACGTGCAGTTGTGGCAACTTTACAAATACAGACTGATGAAGTAAATATTTTTTGAATTATGAACTATTTAAAGTTATTGGTATTAAATAAATTGTACATTTTAGGATGATATCTGTAAAGGACACGTTGCTTGGCAAAAGTTTGCTGAGTTAGGTCCAATGGCTCTATTACCTGTGAGTTTTCAATCAAGTTAATTATAACTATTATAGATGTTTTAAATGTTTTAATATTTCGATTTGTATTACCAACAAACAGTTGGATAATAAAACATGTTCACTAGTATGGACAACAAGTTATGAAGAAGCAAATCGCTTAGCAGATTTGAATGACTATGAATTTATTGATGCTTTGAATGACGGTTTATCGGTAAATTTTTAACATTTAACTGTATTACTATTAATTTTTTTTATAAATGATTGTGTATGAATTAGGAAGAAAAAGAATCTAACAATAGTAGTTTACTATTAGCAGATGATGCTGCTCATTTAGTGTCTAAAGTACTCAATAAGAATAATCAAAACAGAAAAATAAAATCTACTCCACCAGTTGTCATTGATATAATAAAAGGTAGTAGAGCATCTTTTCCATTAGGTTTTGGACATGCGTGTCGATATGTTGGTCAGCGTGTTGCTTTAGTTGGGTAAATTAGTTTAGTTTTTCAAAAATTATTTCTTACATTTAATTTTAAACTAATTTACTCAATATTTACCTTAGAGATGCTGCCCACAGAATACATCCATTAGCTGGTCAAGGTGTTAATTTAGGTTTTAATGATGTTATTGAATTAAGCGATAAACTTAGCCAATCAGTTTCAACAGGCGCTGATATTGGTTTGTAATACCTAATTAGTAGTATTTAATTAGTGCCATAATTAATATTATCTAAAATATATTGATTTTAATTATTAATATTATGTTTTCCTTTGTAGGAGATCTGAATGCACTTTTAAATTATGAAACTGCAGCACAGCGTCATAATGTGCCTATTATGTTAGGTGTTGATGGAATTCAAAAAATTTATTGTAGCAATAACAATTTGGTACCACTTGCAATTACAACATTAATACGTAATGTGGGACTTTCATTTTGTCAATCTGCTTCTATTATGAAAGTATGTATTTTCAAAAAGAGACTATACTCTGTCCAATGAGATAACATGTCAATTTTTCACGTTCTCACATGAATTCCTGTTATTGAGACTGGTTCTACCATGACATCTAGGACATGAGTTAATTGGGGATACGTATTAGAACCAAATTTTTTAAGGCCATGAAATATTCTTTCGCTGGACAGAGTATAATGATAATTCATGTTTACATTTTATGTAATAATAATAAATGTTCTTATTTTATTTTCAAACAGAAACTATTAAGTAACAAAGCATCTGGACTACCTGTTTAGTTTAAGTTTAAATGTATCCAAATAAATAGTTTAATTTAATGTTTATTAAATATGTGTTAAAAATTGAAATTGATTTATTTAGTTAAATTCTATAATAATGTAATAGTATCTCTTTATAGAAAAATTTTATAAAAATAAAGGTGTTATTATTAACTATTTTTTTTTTTTTAATAATTTTATATATGGTTGATTGGCTGAAGTGTGATGTATTTAAATGGAGTTAATAACCAACCTCCATTTTTGTTGCTTTGTGGTTTTGACATATGATTTTGGTTTACAAATATCTGATTTCTGAGTTTTGAGTCAAACGACTAATATAATTTAAAATTTTTGCTCTTATAAAAAAATTTTAAATGGTAGTAGTTAGTAAATATTTAAATTTGTAATATAATAATGTAATGGGAATTTATGCTACAATATAAATATCTTAAGTTCTCAATATTTATGGTATTCCTTAAAGCTTAAACAGAATATTTTAAATTGGAACACTAATTCCATTCATTATAATGACTAATGAGAGGGATGTTCTTACTAACACCTCTTGGTTTTATTTTGGGTTAAAGAGATATCTTTTAAAAATAAAGGGTAGATCTGTAAGAAAATATTTGATAATTTTCAAATAGATTTATCAATTATTATATATGTAGATAGGTATTAGGTATAAAACAGATTACAGTGATATACTGAGTATGCTCGCCTATTTTTTTTTTTTTTTTTGATAATGCGGTTATTTAAAACTTAATTTTTGAAACTTCTAAGCATGCTCTAAAGAACAATATTTTAATTTCTCAAGATAATTTATTTAACATAATGAGTCTTTTTTGAAAATACAAACTTCTATTCTTCATTTGAGTACTAAAACCTTTTCTTCTGTAAATTATTTAGTTTTTCTACAAAATTTGAATGTATAGTTTTTAAGTTATTTAATTTTATGCAATAAAGGATAATAGATCCATGATATAATAGATTTTGACAATTTGAGGGTTATGACAATTCAAAAATATTAGTAATTAATATTTTATATTCACGACCAATATTATATTTTTTTTAAGTTATTTTTAAGAAATATTATCAAAATAGTATAAACATTTTAATAACAGAAATAAATTTTTTGAATTTTGAACCAAGTAAATCAAAATGTTCAAAAATATTGCCCATTATTTAATTTTCTGTAAAAGGTGGTGTGGATTAGATTTGCAAAACAATTTTGTATAGCCAGAGAAGACAAATACTCCTTAAGTTTTACAAAAAAATGTTAAATTTAAACATGATATTTAGAATTAATTTTTTTTATTTAAAAGAATATTTACAATCTGTAATATTTATGTACAATAAGTAAATTTAGAAGCAAAAAAATAACGTTTAGGAGGGTCACCAGAGTGTTAACTATTTGATTTAGAAGATAGTTTTTTTTAGTTAATTAATACAGCTTGGAATTCAAAAATACATCAGTGTCTTTTTAATTGACATGGAAGGGGGAGTTCCTAAAATGAATATACTGATTAAGTTAAATATTAGAGGATTAGTGAGATTGAATGATTTGGTGTGGAATTTCTTCATAGTAATTTTTAACTTTAATAGACTGTTAAAAGTTTTAAGAATACCTAAAAATTCTGGTCTAGAAATCAGATTTTAAATACCGTAAATTGAGGTGACTTGAAATGAAACAATGGTTTTTGTTTAAACATATTAAATTATCTGTGAAAATATTTCATATAATTTAATTCTATATTCATTAAAAATAAATTTATGATTTGTGTGATAATAATTGTTATCTTCAACTAAATGTCATCATTACCGCCAAAAAAAATTATCAAACATTTCTCATAATAACAGTGATTTATTTAATGCTTTCAAAAGTGATTCAGATGTTAGTGAATGAAGTGAGTTAAAGTTTGTATATTTTTATGCATTAAAGAATACTTCAAAAGAAGAATATTGCAGTTAAAACTCTAAAAATATTTTTTCCAATTTTATAACCTAAGTTTTATTTTACAAAAAAAAATTGAGGGTCACTTTTAACACCAAAAATGCGTAAAAAAATAGTACCTAGTTGTAAACCAAAAAAGAGGTAATTTCCAATTCCTACAGTATTTAGGCATTAAATTTTATTATAAAATATTCTATTAGTGTTTTTTTTTATGTGTATTTTAAAATTACGTTGTTTAAAATTTGTTTAAATTTATTTTTAAAATTAATATTTTGTTACAAGTCAACTCTTATGTGCATAAACTAAATGTTACATTGAATTGTCCAGCTAGGAAGCTGTTAGAAATCACTCGAAAATTGAGATGACTTGTAACTTGTATTTTTTATTTTTTTAAAAAGCTGGTTTGGGTTGCAAAAATAAATAGAAGTTCTCATCCTATTCATGAGGCTTATGCAAACATTTATGTATTTTTAGTTGTCCAGCGCAATTTTTTTAAAGCTCAAAATACTAAGAAGTATGTCAAAATCGTTTCATGTCACTTCGATCTACGGTACCTAATTATATAATTGAAGAAAAAAAGGGAAGAGCATGATCGATGAATCTCTCTGTTTATATTATGATAAATAAATTAATAATAATTAATAATTAATATATTATGAATGTACGAGTAATGAGTGAGAATATCAAATGGCAAATAGCCATGTACAAAGAACTTAAAATAGTTAAAACACTAGACAGTAAACAATCGACATTAGATAATAATTATTGGAATTGGGAATATTCAATATTTTCATTTGTTATCGTTCAGTGTTCACGAAATGATCAAATAGAAATACCAACTTTTTTAAATATTCATATTAGGATATTACCAGGTAGTGAGTTACTATACCGATGTTAACAACTGTGATAAATGATAATGCTTATTCTTATCATCCTAACGCCGAAAAACAAGTAAACCGCGATTTGATTTTGTGTATTAAGTCGTACATAATATGTTTTGAATCATTCTCTTACCTATTAAAAGTTTTCATAAATAATTATAAATAGCTATGCTTTTTTTAAATTAATTCATTTATTTTTCAATCACAAGTATTTGTACATTTTTTCTTGGTAGGTTTTTGACTATCTATAAGTGAAATATCTATTTCATAATAGTTTTGTGTGAACTCAATGAATTTGTATGTGTATAGACAATAAACATTATGTTATTACTTATTATATTTCTGTAAAATACTTTAAGTATTTAGTACTAGTATATTTTTATATTGTATACAATTGTTACTTTATAATTTACAACTATTTTATTTTCAGCTTTGAGACTGGTTATAATTTGCTGTACTTCTGAGTATTACAATGAGTTCAGGACTGGAGAGCTATGTGAACCGTATCCTTTAAAAAATATAACTAATGTTTTATAAAGTTAATTACTACATTGTTGGTTATAAATTAAAAGTCTCCATTGATATTTAGTTTTTAAAATATTTTTAAATTAATTTACTAACAACATTGTGTATTAATATTAGCATTGTAGCTTTGAAGAGTGAGTGAAACATTATTATTGGTGTATAATCAATTTCAAATGGATTTTATTAATAACTTATTTAGTTGTATGGTATACATTGATGGAGTAATATAGTTCAAGTACTATTTTTCTTATAGTTTAATTATTAGATACCGTTTCTATTATAACATCAGATGGCAGAAACTTTGTGGTAAGTATACTACCTATTGCTTAATAAATATATAATTTTTTTATGAAAAACTTATCACTTACTCATTTTTTTTATTCAGGGAACACTTAAAGGATTTGATCAAACTATAAATATAATTTTAGATGACAGCCATGAACGTGTATACAGCCCTAATCAAGGTGTTGAACAAATTATTTTAGGTTTACATCTCATTCGCGGTGACAATGTGTAAGTATTAGTTAAAATCTTATCCTATCTTACTTTATCTTGTGTAATATTATTACTTTAAAACTTTTTTTTATTAAATTCCCAGTCAAGTGGCACTAATGGGTGGTCTCTAAATCAAAAATTCATGTTAATATAGCATAAATTATGCTTATTATACTATATTATAATATTTGTACAGATTGTATATTTTATAATATAAGATAATAAAAAAATTTTTGGCTTAAATAAATATTTTAATTTGTTGATTAAATAATTCTCACAATTTTAGAAACATTGTCATAATTGTATGCAAATGTAACTATTTTCTCTATCCAATGGGTTAATTAACAGTAGAATTAATATTCCTGTTACACTAATCTTAGGATATGAACATTGTGTCCAGAACTCAGTGTTTAAATTCTTTTTATGTGTTTTGTGTTCTACTTATCATAATTTTTTGATGACCTTTTTCTCTAATTTAATCATTTCAAATATATTTATTTGTTTTTCTATCATTTTGTCTATGTTTTTTTTATAAACAAATAATATAAATATAATAACTGTTTTTGATTGAACATTCATGTATTATTTTAATAATTATAGTTATTAATTTTTCAGCGCTATAATTGGTGAAGTAGATGAAACAATGGATTCATCGATAGATTTGAGTGCAATCAGAGCTGAACCTATTGGATCAGTAGTATTTTAAAATATTTATATGATATTTTATAATATTATCAATAACTAAATGCATTGATCCTGTTATATTAAGTAATTGTTACTATTAAAGCTATGATAGTAATATAAGTATAAGGGCAAATACTGTGTTTTTATTAATTAAAATAATTTTTTTTCAAATATTAACTTCATTAATCACATGTTCAATGTATAAATAATAATAAAAAAAACAATGAAGAATTAAAATGGTAGTTTTATTTTCGGTAAGTGAAAATCTCATAATTTGTAATTTATTATGTACAAAGACCAAGAAGTAAAATAAGTGTTCATCACTATGGTATTCTCTAGTAGTATACTTAAAATTCATATTTGTCTCATTATTTTATCAAAATTAAATATTATTAATAACTAAAACACTTTTAGTTATAACTGTTAACAAAAATATTTTAATATTTCATGAAAATTATATAAAACTGAATCATTTCATTGTTTCTTGTATTTGTAATGATACTTTTGTTTTAAGTATTATAATTGTTTATAATCAATTAATATTGTCACAATGTGCGAAAATGAATGTTTCAATTTTATAATTACTACTTATGAATTTCATAACAGTGTATATTATAACATTTATTACATTTAAATTAAACCAATAAAAACAATTCTTCCAAAAAGATCACTAATTTTTCTTTCATCTGCTTATCACGAAGTACTGAGTCTTGTAGATCTATTAAAATAAATAGATTTCTGTGTTTAAATTTGGTACACATTTCCCTATAATATACATTTTGTTTTGATATAAACTTTTTATTACATACTCTACAGGCAGTTTATTTTTAATAGATTTGATCATATGAATTTATTGAAACATACCAGTATTTTGCACTTGAATTATTTAGTTGGGTTTCAATGCTGGATGTTTTCATTGTTCAAACATGGCAATACATTTTTTTTTTTTAATTATCTACCTATAACATTAAATTAATATTAACATGGAATTTATAAAATACAAATTATTCAGGTTTCAGTTTAATCAGGATGTTTTATTCGAGTTTTAGTTAATTCTAATGTTAAAAAAAATCTAGATTTTATGGGTTTCAGAATATTTTTTTTTTTTTTTTTTTTCATAAATATTTAGGAAAAATATATCTCAAGTATTACAATAATTTAAATGTTGAGTATAAAGAATTGTTTAAAATTCTCACTTTTTCATCAAGTAATAACATTATAAACAATACCAAGTTTAACAAAATATATAAAATTTACCTGGAGTATTTTATCATGCAATTAGTAAAAAATGATAAAATACATAAGTACAACTTAAATGGTTATACAGAATTCAATATTAATAATAAATTTAAAGCTTTAAAATCTATATTCAGTAAAAACATAAAAAATAATTTTTCAATTGACTCAAAAAGAGTTTCACAAGAATTTTATGCAATTGTATTTATATTTCAATATTAATTTTGATAAATTTGAATACAATGCATTGAATTCAGAAAAAGATTGTTCTTTGGTAGATTTTTTTACAATTTTTTTTTAATTTTGATATTCAATTTTAAACTATTTAATATTTTTTTAGAAAATATTTTCAACAATGTTGAATTATGCATGAACTAGAACTCGCCAATTGCTTGAACATAGTACTTACAGTATATTTACAGGGATGTTTTCAACTGCTAAGAAAACTACAATAGAGCAATCCTCAAGGAAATAAGTATAAAATATGTTTATTAATTTATTTTTGTACAAAAAAATTAAATAAAAACATTGTTAGGATTAAATGCATATTACAATTTGTTAATAAATTAGATATTGATACATTAATTATTTTTTGTATAATCAAAACATGTTTGTTGATACAAACAATCACGATGTCAAAGATTTTTTTAAACATTTTATTTTATTGCAATATAATTAATCATAATATAAAAAAAACTAATGAACCAATTAAATCAAGTAAATTTGTAATTCTGTATTTTGAAAGATGTAATAGAATATTATAAACCATTACCTTTGTTGGTGTTTTAGTTAAAATATTGAATATTCTAATAGATTGACGATAAGTACCGGTACTACGATTGCTCACATAATAAGTTATTATATTATTACTTGTTGGAAATATGTAATTTGTGAAGAATTTTATTACAATCTCGTTCATATTGTCCATGTTCAAAGCAGGAGTGAGTAGTGTATATTCAACATTGTATAGTGTTAACGTTTTAATTTAAACTATCGAATTACACGTTCTTGGTACAGACCATGACTAAATAAACAGGTGTCAGCTAGATAACGCAATTATCTGTTTTGTGTGTTTCTAAAGTATTTATCTACAATAATTGTATACTTCTTCAAAATATGTTACGTATATTATATAAATATATCATATCACACCAATTTTATGCAAAAAATAAAATACTATTACCCTCACTTAATCATTATAATTTCATATTAAAAACAAAACGTATAATAGCAACATTTCATAAAGTATTATTGTATCATCTGTATTCATACATATTTATTGATACACAATGATTGAAATTCTATAGAATTATGCTTAAATATTTAATCTGTAAAACTGGAAGTTATAAATTATATTCAAACTCATAATTTTTTATTCTTTATATATTAAGTGTATTGTATTACATGGATTTATTATGATAGTCACTCCTATTCATGCAAAAAATTAAAAACTGTTGCCCTCATATGATCAATATAATTTCATACATATATTACTGTATTCATTTATATTTTTTAAACATAATAACTACACATGTTGTGTTAAATATAATATCAATTATATTCTCACACAATTGAAATCCTGAAAAATTACACTTAAATAATTAATATATTATATGATACTGGGGGCTATAAATTATACTTAATTTGATTGTTTTTAAAATTATTATTATTATTTATTAAATACTTAATATTTAATGAACTCACAGTCGCTAATTTATACCGTCGATATCAAATGCGATTAAAAGCATTATAACAACGTCGATAGCAAAATGTGTATACTTAACATTTGCAATTTATAATGATATATAAAAATATGTTAAATCTGATGAATGTCGTAAATCAATGCATTTTTCTATAATTAAAATTTATCTTAAAATAGAAATATGTGTTTAATAACATTTTTTTTGTACACTGTGAACCAAGTACAGTCAATTTAAATGTGATCTTCCATTTAATAAAACCACAAAACACACTGTATACATTCCACAGATATGTGACCCATCGTGTGCACACATTTTTTATACACATAAATGTATTTTATACGATATACTCTTGAGTACACGAAGACAGTACAGTGCGATACGAATGCTGTTATGCCGTCGAGTACGTTCAGCGATTGTGGAGGAATCTGAGAGTTAAGTCACCGAAAACAAAACAATACATATTTAATACAGAGAAATAATGTGATTTATTGAATAATATGTAAAAAAAAAAAAACAATAATGTACATCGATAAAGGAACACCGGCAGCGCGTTTGGAATATTATTTAAAAAATATGACAAACGATACAAACACGATGAAATACGAACAGTCAAACGGGGTGAACCGTAAAACACATTACGCGCACGCGGGTCGGCGGCCGTATTATCTGAACACGACGGCGACGGCTACGTACCGAATTGACGGACGTACCGCAGTACTACACGCGCGTACGACTTTCAAAAGGCATGCTCTACGCGATTAAGAACTGAGCGGATGCGAAACGGAGGTGCTAAGACCGGAGAAAAACGTGGAACGGCCGTACTTGTTACCGCTACGGCGACGGTTACAGACCGAATTGTACGACTTACAAATGACACGCTTTACGCGATGACGGACGGAACGCGGCGAAAAAAGGTTAAAAAAAAAAGGCTGGAAAAACGGTCGAAAAGCGGAAAAACAATAAGAATAATAGTAAAGAGTGACTAAAGACGACAACTGATAACGAAGGCTGCGCGATTCAAGGCTTATAGATAATACTATAAGCCTTGGGGTGGTTGGCGGGAAGATAACGGTGATAAGAAAAAATCAAATTTTTTTATTGGCAAACAAAGATAATGTAAGATAATAATCGTTGTTGAAAAGGAAATTGTAAATTTAATACGATACGTCGGTACATGAAACGAAAGACTTCAGTATTCTAGAGATTCTTGTTCACGAGTAAACGTTGCCGATTTCAAATTTTTGCAATGCGTTAATGTTAAGATATTATATCTCGGATAAATTTATTATGATTATAGATTAATACCAAGGAAATACAAAAATGACCTACTTTGAGCACCCATATCAGTTTCAAGCGATTCATTCCACAGATATATATTGTGATTCATTCATCATTCTTATTATCAGTATTCAGAATGCATAGATAATTGATATTAATATCTTATATTGATAAAGTATAATCTATTTGTTATTCAATACTCAACAACTCAACGTATAATAATATTATTAACTATAAAGTCAGTACTTCACCACTACTTCCTTCCCGTGTTTCATTATTGAATAAGCATGTTTTACTATTCAGAAAGTGTTCACTAAAAGAAACATTAATAATAATGTTAAACCAAAAGAATTTATTAAAACCATGAAATTTTATTTCTAATAACGATAAAAAAAAAATCATTATGCCATCTTTTAGGCAGAAATTCTCTGGATTCTTTAGGCAATTTTCAGCGCCATCAGAATCCAGAAATGACGAGAACGCTTCAAATCGTTTCATTAAAAAATATCTTAGTGGGTGAGTAATTACAAATTTATTTTTTGTTTAAAGCAAGACAATTTACAATCTGTACAATTATACAATGATGAATAGATTTTATAAATTTATTAATAATACATTTTGAAAAAAACGTTATTTGTAGATTCTCTTAATTTAATTAATAAGATCTTTTATCATTTATGTTTTAGTCTGCATGTTGAGATTTTGGGGAATGTTATGGTAGACGTAAGAGAAATAATTAGTAGTGCATGTTTAAATTTTGATGATAAACTGATAACATTAATACATTATTTGGTTTTATTCAGTAGTTGTTTGAACTTTTAAATTATTATTATGTATGTTAATTTGTGGTCTGTGGTCCCCTGGGGG